AACCGTGTTTATGATCCGATTAAGTTCACATTTAGAATGCATATTGCTTACATGAAAAGAAATAACTACACAAAAAATTTTGGAAGTTATGTGGTGCGTGAGTCTATATAAATAAAAACAAGTAAGAAAGTCTAAGTTCGGGCGGGGCCGAACATTAAATACCCGGCGCAAGTATTACATATATGCCTTTTCACCTTTCTGAAAGCTGCCGCTACATAGTAAGCCGGGGTGTATCAATTTTGAATAAATTAGCGTCCTTAAATTTCGAAATATTGACGTTTCAAGCATTTCTAAAATTTACCGTTATATGAAAAGCCGTAATTTTAGTCCGATTTCAATAATTTTGAACGTTTTGCTTTTATATGGCAAGCACAATAACCATATCGAGTTTGGTACAAATTGGTAGAACGGTTACCGAGATACATATATGTGATCATAAGTGGGCGGTCCTGGTAAAGAATTATTGCAAGCATCAATTTTGAATAAATTAGCTTTAATATTTACTGATTTATCGAAGATTTCATATTTCTCCAAATTACCGTTATATAGGATGTGGGCGTGGTTATTGTCCGATTTTTAAAATTTTCGGCCATTTGGTATCCTGTACCAAGGCCAATAACTGTGCCAAGTTTGGAAGAAATCGGTGCAGCGGTTGCCAAGATATACACATGTAACACTAAGTGGGCGTGGCTACGCCCATTTTTCAAAAATTTATAATATTCTTATTTTTCGTCTTAAAGTTATTGCAAGTATAAATTTTTAGTGCATAATCTTCTGTAGTTACTAAAATATCGCAGTTTTCGTATTTCTGAAAATTACCGTTATATGGAAGGTAGGCGTGGTTATTGTCCGATTTTGCCCATTTTCAATACCATCCGTCCTACGCCCGAAAGAAGTACACGTACCAAGTTTCGTTAAGATATCTTAATTTTTACTCGAGTTATCGTGTGCACAGACGGACGGACAGACGGACGGACGGACGGACAGACAGTCACCGCTTAATCGATTTCTCTTTTCATCCTGATCATTTATGTATACATTTGTCTATATCTATCTCGATTCGTTTTGCCTGTTACAAACAACCGTTATGTGAACAAAGTTATAATACCCTTGTGCACAAGTGCGCTCGGGTATAAAAATCGGCATCTGTGCTCCGATTTGGTCTATATTCAGAATATGTGCATTACCTATTTTAATTGAAATATATTGAAAATTTTGTTTGTTAAGGTCAAATCTAGCATGTTAGGTAAAAAATGTATTTTATATTATAGTTAAAAAACTAAAAACACGCTTTTATTACAACAAGAACTAAAAAGTATAAAATAATGGATATATATAGCGATTCCGCTTAAGAAGAATAGGAAGTTCCCTAACTTGATTTAATTTAACTTTTTAAATCAGCTAAAAATATTATTAAAGTGATTGACCCGTAGTCATTAGTTGCGTTTTTTTACTCATTTCCAGTAAAATCCAGTAAAAGTTATTACGAATTTTCATGTTTTGGCGTTTTCGTACGCAAAAACTTGCAAAGTAGGGGAAATTGAGAGAGCGAAAAATGACAGTTGAAGTTGCAAGTTTTTACTGGATTTTACTGGATAAATTTTTACTTTTAAGAATTTGCCAGTACGAAAAACAGCTGATCGCATGTTGCTGGATGAAATTTAAACTAATAAGGAAACTGTTTGTGGCTTTTTATTGTGGAAATTCACAAAATGAACATATTTAAATATAAAATATATTGTTTTATTAGGAATATGCTGCGAATAAACAACCAATTAATCAGCTGTTCATGAAACTTGCAAATTATTACTGGAAAAGCGTTCACGTACTTTTTTGTAAATTTTTTCTATGAGAGCGAATTCTTAGAAATTAAATTACTGGAGAGTTGCTGGCAAGTTACTGGATAATTTGTAAAAAAACACAACTATTGACAAAATAAACTCCACTGTAAAGTTTGTTGCAGTTTTTTTTTTACAGATATCCCATTGAAAATTAAGTCAAAAAAACTGCAATAATGGCATAAATTTGACTTTAAGTTTGAATAACCGTTAAACCTGTTGGCTTATCAAAAAATGTTATGTGACGTTTTTTGTAGAGCGTCTATTTTCCTACAAAAATTTGTACCGATTTTTTTTAGTTCGATAAATCATAGCCGAGACAACAAGTTCCAATGTTGTAGAAAATTTTTTTCATGTCATTTGTATGGAAAACAGAATTCCGCGATGCGCGACCTTTTAAACTCAATATTAAGGGTTGCGATTTTAACAGGCATCTTTTCAAAACCCCCCGGCGGTATTAAAGTGGAGCCTGTTATAAAAGTAAGTAGATTTTTTTGAATCAGTCTAATGCACAACCATAAGTATATGCATATGCATGCCAGTAAATAATTACATATATTTAAGTATACCATTAACAGTTGTAAGCCATGAAGTAATTTAATACAAACCAATATTTTTTTTAAGCTTTAAGCAGATGCACATAGCGTTCATTTACTTCAGCGTAAGCTTAGCGTATAATACAATACATTCGTACACAAAGGAAATAGTGCGGTGCGTATAACCTACAATTTCAAGTGTTGGTAGTAGGTATGTATGTGTGGAATTTCCCTACCATTGTAAAGCAGAATGGAATCGGTCTACTAGAGAATTTATAACCATGTCTAGTGCGCGTTAATTCTCTTTTGCATGCTAGCAATAGGCGAATTTAACAAGGCGATGTCCTACGAAGGGTAAATTGCCCCCGTTGTATCCCCTATTCAATAGTTCCGGACCAGCTCTAAAATCGACTGACGAAAAAAGTATGTGAGTGTGCAGAAATAAATGCTTACTGATAGATTCAAGAAGATCCCAAGATATTACAATGAAATTTTTGTTTTGTATTGCCAAGCTATGAAAAAGCATCTGTGAAGTGCAGAGTGAAAACGCAATTTGAACGAAAAAATCCGCAAGTAAGTATCTAGTTAAAGTAAACAAGATCGCCGCTGCATATCTTTTTGGAAAATGGAAAAAGCAACAAAGTCTAACCGGTAGGAGTTATAGCTCCTATTTCGGAGACAACCACATCTCCTCATCGAACTTCTTTTTTCTAGACTTTCAGCAGGGTTCGAACCCGCATCATCGATGTGTAAAGCCAGCAAACCTAACCACTGAGCTATGCACACCCCGTTAGCTGTTTTTGCGAATGCCTACTATCGTGTTGTATTCGTCCCTACCTACAAGTCTGAACTTTGTTATCTTTATGATGCGTTTTCACTGTCGCACCGTGTAATCCGTAAAAAATCAGCGTTGTAATTTTTCGCTAATGCATACGGTTGCTTGAAGTAGCCTTTTCACTACGTTGTAACTTTAATAATGCTCAAACATTTGCGTAGTCACGTTCTAATCTGTCGGTTGCAGGCCCTGTTTGAATGTTTAGGGTCGCTATCTTTCTACTCTATCTATTTGTTAACTTCATCCCCATAGAATGGTTCGGAAGCCTGTAGTACTTCCTTTTCAAAAAATTTTGGCATAAGTTGATCTTTCAGGTTTGGACTCAAGATTGCAGAGTCCTCAAACAAGACTAACGCCTTACGGGAGACAAACTGACTCATACAGATAAAAAATATATAATTACCTCGAATTATGCCATGGGAATCTTCTAAAACTAATGGTGACTTGGTCTCTTCCAAAAAATGTTGTCGTTCCATGGTGCAAAATCTGTTGGATGTTACACTCAACCCTATGAAAAGGAATTTTTTTGCCTTCTTGTCCTTGTCTAGCTCATGCATTTCGTACTATTGTCGTTTTAAACAACCATATGATTTTCAGGGCAACCATCTCCCCTGATAAATCTTCACAGCGCAGAGAACGTGCATTCCAAGAGTGTGACATTTTAACAAACGAACACGAAATGTTCGCACCCTTTGCCTTTTTTGTATTGATTTTTTTAAATGCAGTTTAAATATATGAACTATCGGTAAGGGTAAGATGCCCAAACTAGTGGCATATGCAGACGACATGCCGTAGAAGTAACAGGGAAGTACCTAGACATTTCAGTAATGTAATGAACAACGCCTTGAAAGTCATTGACCAATAGGCATCTCGTGCGGGGTTACGGGTTAAAGCAGACAAAACAGGCCTTATACTCTTCACATGTACGTGCAGCTTGGTAGCATTGAGCTGTCAATTAAATACCACAAACATTATTTGGGTGTGGTCTAGGACAGTAAACTGCTGTGGAAACGCAATGTTGAGGAAAGGTGAAGAAACCAAGTAACGCCCTTTACGCACGAAAAAGAATGCTGGGAGTCACTTTGGGTCTGTTACCTGCCCTAATGCGTTGGTGCTACACAGCAATACTCAAACCAGTACTGCTCTATGGCGCTTTGTCAAGGTGGAATGGCGTAAAAAAATTCTCATACCTCGGGCCAAGGAAGAAGGTTCAGTGCCTCGCGGAACTAAGCATCTCGGGAGCACTGAGGTCCACTCCAACGGCTGCTCATGAAAAAATTCTCTGTAACACCGTGCTGGTAAATCCGCAGGTATATATTTACGTTCATTATATGTACATTGTACATACATACAAATTTACAATGCAAAAGTAAGCTTGAGTATTTAATAAAAATTACCGATCACTAATCTGAAATATTGTCGGGATGTTCAAGCCAATTCAAAACGAGTTTACAACCAATAAAGAGTATGTATGTATGTATGTTATAAAGGACATACCCGCGATCAAGTTTGACGACGACATTGGGACTGAATTCGGGCCGATATTGAATCTTTATACTAATCAGGTATTAACTAGGTTTATATTTTTGAAGTTCTTTATTCAATAAATAGCTTCCACCATAATTTGGCACAGAAATATCCAATATCCACTGAATACCAATCGACACAACTGTTATGCATTTTTAGTACTTCCCTACCAAAAAAAAAAAAAATAAATAAGAAAGACAATCGCTGTTCTCATTCCACTCAACTGCCCGCACTCAAAAATGAATGGAATTACTTTGTACTTACGTTGAATTATCACAACTGGCTGTTGAACCATTGGCTGCGTGGTGGCTGACGCATTCGACGTGTAAGTGTGATGTGGTGGCGGTATACCACCACCCATGCTGGTTGCTCCATAGTGCGGGTTGCCGCCAAAGGTGTGTTGAGCGCCAATTCCGCCGCCGGCTGCTGTTGCTGCTGCGCCTGTTGCTTTTGTGCTGCTATATTGCTGTTGTTGCTGCTGCTGCTGCATCTGCGCGGCGCCACTGGGCGTAGGTAAAACTTGCACTGGGGGATATGGTGCTGCATGAGTAGCTTGATCATAGGATGGCGGTGCGGCTGGTGACTGTTCGGTATAGCCGCTATGTGTGGCCTCTTGCATCTCGACTGGCATGCGCGGATAGTTGCCGGGGTGGCCCGATTTCTCCATCACTAAGATGTTACAATTAGGAAACTTCCTCTATATTAGTGATCGACTTAATTAGTCGCAGTGTCTGAACTCAATCACTCGCTAATTTGAAACGAGTGCTTATTTTTAAATTGTGACACGTATACCGCCGAATAATCGTTTTTCTTTTCGTTGCTTGTCGATTTGTTTATTGCGCTTCACATCAACGTCACGACTTCGTTGTGAAATGCAATGTTATCGTTATATGTATGTAATAGATTTTATTACTCGTTTCGAAGTTTTGAAAATCGCGTGCGTTCCTCTACGTTGCCAACACTTGACTGCTTGCTGGTTTGCTTTGGGGCTATTGGCTTTTGCCGCTGTTGCTTCGGTGGTTGTGCTAATCATTCTGATTAAACGACTACTCTCGTCGATTCTCCATATATCGCAGACGATCTTCAAAAGTGACACAACTCAAATTTTGACATTTTTGAATTTATGCACTAAAAATGTACACAGAGCTCCTATTTACCTTTAAGCAAAAGCTGGAGAAAATTTTTGTTATAATTTTTGAAAAAACCTAAGGTAGCCTCCCTTGCCCATATGATTAACATGTGCTACGAAATAGTATTTTCCGAAGAGCGTATAATTTTGAGTTGTGTCACGTTTGAAAATCGTATGCGATATGTTTATATGCATATGTACATACATATATGTTTGTAGGAATCACTGAAATGGTGTTGCCAACTACACAGTTTATTCAAAGCGAATTTTTTTATACATGACTACTAGCTTTTGTCGCCTCATTCGAGCTTATTTGCTGATAAGTTATCTATGTATGTATGGGCTATGTAGTTAGTAACATGTTTATATTTGACTATTTTATTGGTAAGCAATATGAGTCACTATCTCCAACAGTTTTCCCTTTTCTAAGTGAAATTATAATGAGTTAGAGGTTGTCTGGACTTGTTCTACATCGGACCATCCAACTTTTTTTCCGTATCCGATTTTATGAACAGTGAGTGGAAATTCTGAAAATATAATTTAACAAGTGAAGAGGTCTAAGCTCGGCGAAATTTTCTGTAAACTACAATGATAAGCAAGACTTTTTTCCCCGATTTGAAACAGTTTTAATAATATGCTATTTCAGACTTATTGAAATAATTGGACTAAGTCTGGTGAAAATCAGTAAAGCGTTTACCGATATGCACTTATGTAGTCAAAAGTGAGTGGTGCCGGTCCCATTTTTTTCAAAAAATCTATAATCTTATTTCTTGTTAAGAGAATGTTGTGAGAGTAAACTTGGAGTAAATTGGCGTCATTAGTTATTAGAATATCGGAGTTTCCGCATTCTGAAATTTACCGTTAGATGGGAAGTGGGCGTAAGTTTAGTCAAATTTCCCCAATTTTCCAGCGCTCCCGCAAAGAGCATGTCAGCCGTCCTCTGTGCCCGTGCAACCTTGCCACTGGACTGAGTGTTGTTCAACGCAGGCCACCATACGGTGACCTCTTTGAAAAAGATGGGCCTTACCACAGCCGTGTACATCCAGTGTACTATATGTGATTTTAATCTCCATTTTTCAATGTTCCGCTTCCAGTCTAGTTTCATGACTAGAATAAACCCAAGATATTTACCCTCGGTTAAGAGAGCAAGTGCCACCCCGTTTAAGGAGGCAGGCCCTCCGCATACGGCTCGTCTCGTCATCGGCGCGACATGTATTTTTAACGCAGCGACGGTGATGATACGCTTACAGGTCCGTACACAATGCGACTATCTGTCGTCAAAGTACGTTTCCGAGCAGCGATGAAGTGGAATTTCATTTATTAAATTATCTCCTATGTACATCGAAGGAGAAATAAAAGAAAAAAAGCATTGGGTGCATCCATATATTAAGAATAATTCAAATATAATTTACAAAAATAATTGAAACAGAATTTATTAATAAATTAGAGCTCGGAAATTTGAAGGCTTGCTTTAAATTAAAGTTTAGTCTTTTGACTGCATGTCTTTGGTAAACCTTTTCGATTCGGGTAACGCGTTTGGACGCAATAACCCAAAATCATTGTACAAATAACCGAACGGTCCCCATTTATGTACAGATCGGTTAGATCTCTATTTGAAAATTCCTGTAAATTATTATTATATAGGCTCGCGCGATTTTCGATTAACGCATTTTTGTATCAAAACTTTTAAACGCATCGAAAAACATAAACAAACTGCGAGCGTGCTATCGTACATGACGACAAGCAAGCGACAATGCTGTACCTTTACCTTTATATAAGTAAAGTGTTTAGATTTACTTTGGTCTTCGTTTTGGTCTTTATTTGTACGCATCTTTGTTTTTGTTTTTATTTTTACCTTTGCCTTTATCCCTTTCATTATCTATGTACGTACTCAGCTTTACTTACGTTCTTGTGTTGGTCTTTTTCTAAGCGTTATTCTTTAATCTTATATTAGCAAAAAGCACTTGTTTCAGTGCAACCATTTCCGTTGCACCATTGCCGTTGCATCATTTCCGTTGCGCCATTTCCATGTGCAATTTCCGTTGAATTTGCCAATTTACAAACAAATTAAAAGTTTGCAATTTTACGTGTACAAATATAAGTTCTGAGAATAAAAACAATTAGAAAAGGTAATAGGTGGCACGCTGAGTAATCGTTTCTAAGTAAGTCAAGTCAAGTCTAAGTCTTGCATAACCCAGCTTTAAGACGTTTTTTACGTTAAAATATATAAGTTATAATTGAATGAATAAAAAAAATTTAATGGAAAAGTCCACCGGCAGTGGGACTCGATCCCATGACCTTGCTGATCGTTAATCTGAATTACTGCCATCTCTCAAGCCACAATTTTGATCAGGTCAGCTGCGCCGTTAATCGGGATCAACGTTGCCGTCTGTCTATGCTTTAACGGCAGTCTCAAGAAGAGCTAGATTCGCCATGTTTGGGCCGTAGGGAGAGGGATGTTAGGCGATCTTATGCAAGTGGGCATACAAAAAGGTGGTTAGTGTCGTCGGGCCATCTGGCTTCTTATTGAAATTGGACTGTACAGTTAACCTGCCACCATATCCAGAATAGAGTTGTGCCAAGTATCACCAGCCTCACGAAGTAACAGAGCTCTTCGTCTGCAATAGGTGGCGTTGGTCTCTGATGATGGAATTCGAGTTTGACGAAGGGTTTGACTTATTCTCGATGAATTGCCTATCTATAATAGAGTATATCTGCATATAATAGACAAGAGTCTGTTGTGTTAACAATGTAGTCTTGTTAAGGTCGGTGAACCCCATTAAGTGTGCATTTGTTTGCTACTTTTTTCTGTTTTACTTGTAATCCAAAATAATTAGAACTTATTTTGCAGTATTGCTTTCTAAATTAAAGCTACAACTATTTTAAGCAGCCGTATTGTAATTTTAGTCATACTTTCCAACTAACAGCGAGTGTTTACTATAGGTTTATCCTGTTTTTTCTAATGTTGAAAATGGGGAACTATGATTATTATTTTTTGAATTCGTTATTTTTAGAATAACTCAACCGGTTTTAGAAACTAGGCGAATAATCGAATAAACCTAATGTAATGTAGCATGTTCATAGATACTAGACAAAAATGATTTCGTCCCGAATGAAACTTGTCCGATTATCGTTTTCTGGCTAAAATTGTTATTTCAGAATTATTTTGTGTGCGACTTTTGAGCATTTTTAATACATTCATATAAGCATGTAGTTAAAAATATAATTTTTTTTCTTTAGAGACTGATATTCTGCTAAAATATTGTACAAGTTCTAGTTAACCAAGTATTTAACGTTCATCCATTTACCGAAAGTGATCGCCACTTTTTAACGATCATACACACCCAAAAAAGCATTGCAGGTTGGACAGTAATGTTCCACATTTCGTGCGCACTGCGTACAATATAACATGCCAGCGCAAGGTATGCAGCTGTGGACAAAGAAATATTAGTATGAATACATAAATATTATTGAACTGTTAATAAATAATCCCACATACAGCATTCCAGCGAGAAGTAATGCGATGATGTGTGTCTTCGATGATGCTCGATATTCCAGACGCGAGTTGACCTGCTTTGAACAATTGGGGCAGGTTAAACTGCAAGGAATGGGGCCAATTGGTGTTGACATGTTTTTCCAGTTAATGGATCAATAGTTAAGAGATCTGTAATTCGTAAAGAAATTTGAAGGTAATATACTATTAATGTATGTATATTAGGGTGCTTTTTTGCGGCATTTGTTTTTCACTGCTACCTCGAAATTTTGTGGAAAAGACCTAAAAAAAACTCCCTGAAAATCTAAACCCTTATTATTAACATTAAATACACGCCCAAGGCGTGCAAAGATTTGCCATACAAAATTGCGTAAACGTTGATTGTTTTTCTTTATAATTCTATAGCACAGAGGCATTTTATGGTATAATCATGGTCAATGATGGGTTTTCTACTTGAATGTGGTTGTTGTAATTTAGCATTTTTCTACTAACAACAATCTTTACACTGTGGATGTAGAAACAGCGGAGCAACCTCGAATTTCGTTTTGTTTTTATATTTTCCCGTACTGGCGCGTCCGTTACCAAAAACCTTATTCATTGTTATAACTAGTAGGCAGAATATTTGAAATCCATATAGGTTTCAGTTTTAAAGCAAGATTATTAACTTCTTTTAAAAAATAAAACCATTAGCCCCCGACAAATCGAATTTAAAATTTTATTTGTGTTCGAAATTAGTCGCGTCCGTAACCGTGGGAAAAATTCAATCAAAAAATACACCAACAACTTCTTCCAGCAAGGCATACGCTGGGTTTCCCTTTCCTTGCACTTTTAGATTTAGCTCATTTCGATATTATATCTGAAGAGGAGTTGAGTTTTTGTAGCCACTCAAATTCGAGGTGGACAATGCATTTTTCATAGAGGAACACCTTTATTTCACTGAAGCACAAAGCAAGCCGTCTCAATGCATTTCCTCTAGAAAGCCGACGCACTTTATTGTGCAGATGTAGTTCAGAGCGAGCCGCAGATAGCCGACACCTGGTCTAAGTCTAAGCTATGCAAAAATGTTCCAAATATTGTAGGTATTAAATGTTTTCATTGGTTTTCATATATCGACTGACATCTTTTACGTCCGTAATGAGAAATAGAAGACATTCTTTGACCTTCAATTCCACATTCAAAGAAAATAACTTTTTCTCCAAACATCGCTAAATTTGGAATATTTTTACATGCGCTAAAAAATCAATTTTTTTGTCGCGTCCGTACCGTTTTTTATTTGCTTGTATCTGTGTTCTTAACTGTTTATACTTCCAAAAAATTTTGTTGAATGTAGCAACTTCCCAGTGTTTTGTAAAAGTTGTAATATACATACGATCTTTTGCTTCTCTTCCTATTTTAAGCTTAGTTAAACCCGTGCGAATGTCGGTTTCGTAACCCAGCATATGCTCATATGTATGTACATTAGGGTGCCCATCG